CTGATGTAAGTTGTATGTACGATGTGAAGTGCCGCCTCATTGGAAAAGACCTTGATGGGGAAGACTGAAGGCAAAAGGAGGAGAGGCGGGCAGAGGATGAGGCAGATGGTCAGGTAGCATCTCTGACTCGACGGTGGGGTCGGGGGGCCTGGCTTGCTGCAGTCCCTGAGGTCACAAAGAACTGGACACGACTTAGTGACTGAGCATCACCAGCATATATTTAGGAGGCTCTAGTAGTAAAGAGGGTTTTCCTTGTGGCTTAGCTGGTAATGTGAGAGACCTGGGTTGGATCCCTGGGTTGGGAAGATCCCCTGGAGAAGGGAAAGGCTACCCACTCCAGTACTCTGGCCTGGAGGATGCCGTGGACTGTATAGTCCATGGGGTCCCAAAGAGTCCCTGCCAATGCAGGAGACCTAAGAGACTTGGGTTTGATCCCTGGGTGGGGAAGATCCCCCAGTGAAGGAAATGGCAAGCCACTCCAGTCTTCATGCCCGGGAAATCCCAGGGACAGAGGAAGCCTGGCGGGCTGCGGTCCACGGGGCCGCAGAGTCGGACGCGCCTGAGCGACTCGGCGCGAGCACCGTGGTGCCTGTGTGCCCAGGCGTGTCCGACTCTGCGTGCCCTTCCCTCAACTGTGTAAGTCATGGAAAACGCACTCTCGGGCAGACTCGCAGAGGTGGAGATCCAGAAATAGGAGCCCTTTATCAGTAATAATGTCAGTAAGGACTTTGGCTGGTTTGGGTTTTGTTCCCATGTATCCTTTCTTTCCCTGGAACAGGGTTCAGTATCCCTGCCCACATTCACATGACTTACCCCAGCCCAGCGAGAAGAGATCAAACCAGTCAGTCCTAAAGGAAATCAACCCTGAATATTCGTTGGAAGGACTGATGCTGAAGCTGAAGCTCCAGTACTTTGGCCACCTGATGCGAAGAGCTGACTCATTTGAAAAGATACCGATGCTGGGACAGATTGAAGCCAGGAGGAGAAGGGGACGACAGAGGATGAGATGGTTGGATGGCATCATCGACTCAATGGACATGAGTTTGAGCAAGCTCCGGGAGTTGGTGACGGACAGGGAGGCCTGGCGTGCTGCGATTCATGGGGTCGCAGAGTTGGATATGAGGGGACTGAACAACAAGAGAGGGTGTGGCCTTCCCTGAGGCTCAGTGGGAAAGAACCTGCCTGCCAGCACGGGAGACCCGCGTTTGATCCCTGGGTCAGGAAGATCCCCTGGAGGAGGAAATGGCAACCCACTCCAGTCTTCTTGCCTGGAGAAACCCATGGATTTGTTCCCATGTATCCTTTCTTTCCCTGGAACAGGGTTCAGTATCCCTGCCCACATTCACATGACTTACCCCAGCCCAGCGAGAAGAGATCAAACTAGTCAGTCCTAAAGGAAATCAACCCTGAATATTCATTGGAAGGACTGATGCTGAAGCTGAAGCTCCAGTACTTTGGCCACCTGATGCGAAGAGCTGACTCGTTTGAAAAGATACCGATGCTGGGACAGATTGAAGCCAGGAGGAGAAGGGGACGACAGAGGATGAGGTGTTTGGATGGCATCATCGACTCAATGGACATGAGTCTGAGCAAGCTCCGGGAGTTGGTGACGGACAGGGAGGCCTGGCGTGCTGCGATTCATGGGGTCGCAGAGTTGGATATGACGGGGACTGAACAACAAGAGAGGGTGTGGCCTTCCCTGGAGGCTCAGTGGGAAAGAACCTGCCTGCCAGCACGGGAGACCCTCGTTTGATCCCTGGGTCGGGAAGATCCCCTGGAGGAGGAAATGGCAACCCACTCCAGTCTTCTTGCCTGGAGAATCCCATGGACAGAGGAGCCTGGAGTGCTGCAGACTTTGGGGTCACAAAGACTTGGAGACGACTTAGTAACTCAGCAACAGCCCCACCCCTCTGGGAAGAGCAGGCTTCGCTTTCCCCTCCTCCCCGCTCCCCTGCAGTCTCCCGGGACTGTGGGCTCCAGCCCCAAACAAGCTCTCCTGGGGGTGAGACTGCAGACAGGATGCTTTCACACAGAACCTTTCAGAGGCTGGCTCGCGCCTCCTTCGCTTGGGGCTGCTCTCCGCCGGCTGAGCAGCAGGTCTCATCAGCTGCTGCTTACCCCAGTCTTAGCCCCGGTCTGGGTCTGAGAGGATCAGGCATTTGGTGGTGGTGGGGGGACCGGAGCCCAGAAGTCCCACAGCCCTCCCAGGACAGAGGGAAACAAATGTGTGTTGCCTTAAGCCACTAACACGTTGGAGTTGTTTATGGCCACTGGAAAGAATGACTAATTTTAGAGCGCAGAGTCTGTCGGTCTCTCCATGCTGGTCCTGGCCAGCGGCGGCGGGCTGCTGTCTGAAGCTTCCTCCCCTTGCGGCTGGACAGGGGAGCGCTGTGCATCGCCTGCGGAGGTGACGGGAGGCCCCCTGCCCTGTGCCCTGCGCACACTCTGGGGAAGACCTCTTCTGGTCCCTTCCTGATCAGAGACGGGCCACAGTCCGCCTCTAAACGTCACTGGAAAGTGGTAACCCTGCAGCTGGCTTGTGCTAGTCAGGATCGGCTCCTTGGCCAGGAGGGCTGCCGCTTTTTAAAAGAAATGGCTTCTTTTGTCTAATTGAGGCATAATTGACATGCATTAGTTTCAAGTGTAAGAACAGTGGTTCTGCATCTGTGTATGTTGTGAAATGATCACTACGATAACTCTGGTTAACATGCTTCGCTGTGCGTGCTCAGTTGTGTCTGACTCTGTGTGACCTCGTGGACCATAGCCCACCAGGCTCCTCTGTCCATGGGACTCTTCAGGCAAGGATACTGGAGAGGGTAGCCATTCCCTTCTCCAGGGGATCTTCCCCACCCAGGGGTCGAACCTCCGTCTCCTGTGTCTCCTGCATTGGCAGGCGGATTCTTTACCATTAATGCCACCTGGGAAGCCTGAAATCGCCAAGGGGACAGCCGGCTTGGTTTCAGATATCGCAATGCCACTAACTTTAATAAACTACCATCTGTCAAGTTTTGCTGTAACATGGGAGATAAATTTCCACAATTGTATGAAATGGTCATCAAAACACTCCTCCCTTTTGCAACTGTGTCACCTGTGAATTCCGTTTTTTAAACCACGTCAACCAAAGCAGGGACTTCCCAGGTGGCTCACTGTAAGGAACCCGCCTCCAGCACAGAAGATGCAGGTCCATCCCCGGGTCGGGAAGACCCCCTGGAGAAGGAAATGGCAACTCACTCCAGTGTTCTTGCCTGGGAAACCCCANCAGGTGGCTCACTGTAAGGAACCCGCCTCCAGCACAGAAGATGCAGGTCCATCCCCGGGTCGGGAAGACCCCCTGGAGAAGGAAATGGCAACTCACTCCAGTGTTCTTGCCTGGGAAACCCCACGGACAGAGGAGGCTGGTGGTCTAGAGTCCATGGGGTCACAGTCAGACACAATGAGGAACCGAGCATGCAGCCAGGACCGTGGACCATAAGAGTAAAAGCAGGTGTGGGTAGGAGAGCCTGATATCTTAGTGTTTAATTAGGCCAGACTTGAAAGAGATGTGCAAAATGTAAAAGCGGTCCACACTTTCCACTACATTTTTTTGGGAGGGGGAATACAGTTATTATTGATAAAATATTTATGTTAACATGGAATAGGTTTATATTTTAACAGATTAAGAAAAACTTTATGAATATATCAACTTTAATTTCCAATATCTAAAAAAAGGAAAAGCTTTGGTTCTAAAGCCATGTATAGCTATACATAAATACATAAGACTCTATAATGAATGGACTGTTCGATTAAAGTCTGTACCACATTTTGAATATGGCCCTTTGAGTAGGAAATGGTAACTCACTCCAGTATTCCTTCCTGGAGAATTCCATGGACAGAGGAGCCTGGTGGGCTACAGTCCATGGGGTCACAGAGAGTCGGACATGACTTAGCGACTAACATTTCACTTCCCCTCACACTTAGGTTATCAGCTGAAAGCTGTTAAAAACCTGGGCCTTTTGATCTCTTTCTTAACGCTGTGCCAAGGCAGGCTGCATATTCACCTGATTTATTCTATAGGCCATCGTCTCTGACCTTCAGAGGCCATTCCAGCACTGGATTAGGATGGGCTCCAGGTGTGTCTGCCAGGATGTTAAATCCCAAGACACGGGAGAGTTCCCCTTCAGTGCCACATCCTCTCCTATGCAGGCTTATGTTCCAGTCCTGTATCCTCAGCATCAGTTTCCAGGCCTTTCCTCCCAGTTACCACAGGTACAAAGAAGCCATACCCTTCAACTGTTTTTGATCCTAGTCCCTTTCTTCCCATAGCAGCAAGTGGACTGTCCCAACTGGGCTATGCTGAGAAATGCCCCTTGTTCTGGGGACTGGAAACAATAAGAGGACAGAAAAGACAGTCTCGGGTGGCCCGTCATCGAGGCATCTTTCTCCGGTAACGGTCTTCAGGCCACAGGATACTCTTGTTCACTAGCAATGACAAGAAACTGCTTTTCCATAGCTGGACAATGCACGTGGCTTGTGCAGTTCAAATTTTCTAGAAGTGTCAGCCCTCCAAAATCTCTGTTCTGATGAGTACCATTGCTGCCTTTTTAGGGTGATGAGTTTTTCATTGGAGNACAATGCACGTGGCTTGTGCAGTTCAAATTTTCTAGAAGTGTCAGCCCTCCAAAATCTCTGTTCTGATGAGTACCATTGCTGCCTTTTTAGGGTGATGAGTTTTTCATTGGAGAGGTTTTGAACTGTAAATTCAGGCTCCTTTGTACCTCCGCCACCCTGAAGGTCAAAGCTGGTGCCTGATTTCCAGCACCGTTTGCCTGCTGGCTGCAGGACATGGACACGTAGGCTTCTGCAAAGCTGCCTGAAGGCTTCCTGGCTCCTGTGATGTGCCAGGAGGTGAAAGCTGGCTGTCTCAGCATGTAGGTCTCTTTCTGCTAGGCTTCCAGGGTATTTAGCAAAAACTATTCAACTCTATAATCTTTATAATTGTCACTGCTCTTATATGTTTCCAGGATGAGAAGAAATGCGAAAACCAGTGCTTCCTCTTCTACCTGGACTGGATCCACCGCAGGTGAGCGTTTCAGTAATCCTGGCCGCTGCCCAACGTTGCCACTCCCCAACTCGTCTTCAGTCATGGGATGCCTCTTGCCGTCTGACTGGTGAGCGATCCAACTCCAGTGTCTCCTGAGGTGTCAGTGTCTCTATCCACTTGCCTAAAAGGCAGACACTGAGGCAAGGCTTCCAGTACCAGTAGCTCACGTGGGAGCCAAACCCAGTGGACACAGGCTGAGGCCGGTGAGATGCGAGAGGAGGGAGGGAGAGAAAACCAATAACAGCTGTTAGCAAATGGGGCCATGCCGTGGACCACTGGGCTCCATCCTGCTAAGCTTCCACGTGGAGTCTCTGGCTTTGTATCCACAGAACACATCTCAGCATCCTCCCCTCCATGGAGGATGTTTCTCCATCAGCTTCTGTCCCTCCTGGTTGCCCAGAGCAATAACTCCTGGCAGTTCTGGCCTCATGCACTGTGGGCTGAGCTTGCACGCGTTGCCAGAGCCTTCGGGTAGAAAGTGCTGCAGATGGACCAGGCAGGAGACCATCAGGATGAGTGGGAACTGCCCAGTGAGCCTGCAGGAGACCTCCACGGGGGCTGCAGCATCTGGGCGTGACCCTGCCGCCTCGGAAGGTAGACACAGGAGCACCACCATGATGTGGGGAGGGACAGGGGTTCATGGAATATTTTTCACACTTTAGTGTCTTCATGTTTTATTGCGTTCCTGGTGGTTTAATGTAAATTGTTTTAGTCTGGAGGAGGCTAGAGGCAGACAGGCCGGTGAGAGAACTGTGACAATCACGCAAGGATGATGCAGAGAAGTAGGGAGTCAGGCCCGGTAACGAGCAAGGACGGCAGGTCAACCACACTTCTGTTCCTTTCACATTATGTATTATGCTGTGGGAAGACAGAACCAGGATGCACCTCACAAGTATCGCACAGGACATCAAAAGACAAAGATAACATAATATGCCACGAGAAGGTAAAAATATGCCACTTACGTATAGTGGAGAGACGCATGTATAACATGGACACCAGAAGTACAAGGAAATGCATCAGAATAGTAAATATCACTCTGAGGGTAGTGGTTAATGTTTGGGGACCAACAGCAAATAAATTTGGAAAGAGGTTTCTAGGAGTTTCGGCTGTGTGGTATTGCTTTATTTCTTAAAGCTGGGTGGTGAGTACATGGGCTCTCATTATATAATTATTTTACTGTTCTGGTGTTTTTAAATAAATACAAGATATATTTTAAAACATTTTAACTCATAGGACTCGACGGCTTAGGGAATAAAGCAAGTTGATTCTGTGTCTTCGTGGCCTTTTACAGTGTGATTTAAAAAAAAAAAGTTTCCACACACGTGTGTACATACTCACATAAAACAATAATGAGGAAACGGTTCTAATTTGTTACATGTTATTCACTGTCTATGCTGACGCCCCCATAAGCGAACATTTTAATTAACTGGTGACCTGTAATTTCCATTTACAAATGATGAATTATAGAAGTCTCCTAATTATAAACCAAAATCACTGAGTTTGAAGGGATCTATGATTAAATGGCAACCCACTCCAGTATTCTTAGCTGGAGAATCCCATGGACAAAGGAGCCTGGCGGGCTACAGTCCATGGGGTCGCAAAGAGCCAGACGCGACTGAGCGACTAACACACACAGACACAGGATTAAATGAAGGTTTTCCTGGCGGCTCAGTGGTAGAAAATCTGGCTGCAATGCAGGAGACCCAGGTTCGATCCCTACGCTGGGAAGGTCCCCTGGAGGAGGGCATGGCACCCCACTGCAGCATCCTTGCCTGGAGCCTCCCCTGGACTCGGGAGCCTGGCGGGCTCTGGCGCATGAGGGTGCACAGAGTGGGAGGACTGAGCCCGTACGTATGATTGAATGAAGCATTTTTATAAGCGTGTCTTCAGGAATAGCAGTAAGCTTTAAGATGGATTTTTTTTCCCCCTCAAAGGAGTGAATTGTAGTGAAAGAAAAGTGAAAGTGAAAGTTGCTCAGTTGTGTCCGACTTTTTGCAACCCCAGGGATATCCATGGAATTCTCTAGGCCAGAATACTTAAGTGGGTAGCCTTTCCCTTCTCCAGTGGATCTTCCCAACCCAGGAGTCAGACTGGGGTCTCCTGCATTGCAGGCAGATTCTTTATTAACTGAGCTATCGGGGAAGCTTTAAGATGGACTTTTTTTTTTTTTTTCAAAGGAGTGAATCATAGAGCTTCAGTTAAATCGTGTGGATGGGTTTTTATGTTGGACTGCTCTATTGCAGGCAGTGATACTTCTTTTGGGCACGAGTTTTCCAGGAATAACGACATCACCCGCCTGTGTTCCTGCATGGGAGGGCGTTAGTCTCTCTGTGGCTGCTCACCCAGGGGGCTTGGTGAATTTCACCATGCTGGGATGACACCTAGAGAGAAACAGGATTGGTGGGTCTCCCTCAGCTGTGGTTTCATTCACCATAACCTCTCTGCTCTTGCTGACTCTTAGAATCATCCAAGTACCATTCAAAGGGAAAGATGGAAAAGAACTCAGAAATCATACTGGGTTTCTTAACTTGCAACTCAGTCATTCCATTTCACAATAGGACTGAGATCCTCCAAGGGGGGAAAAAAAAAGACAAAGACATTTAAGTCACCTTAAGAGCTCTGATGTTTCATCTGAATATTTGTGAAGTAATTCTGAAGACAGCCTCTGCAGTTTCACAAGGAGAGAGTATAAATTGCTTTGTATAAACGAGATCCAAGCCGTTTTATCCCTCCAGATTTTATGGACTTGTTCCCCAGGGCGATATTACTTGCCATATCCTTGGACTTTGAATTTTATTATAATTTTTATGGGAGGAGGGACTGCATTTAATAAAACTGGAATAAAATGACACTTTTCTTTGGCGGCCAAATAAAGCTGAACCTCAGGACATTTGCAGGAAAGACGTGTCCTGGGTTTGTGGTCAGCTGTTCACAAGGCAGGTGAGACAGACCCAGGAGCTTTAGGTGTAACCTGAAGATTCAGGGCCACTTATTCCTTCCCCCCCTAGTTTTGGCTTTTTTGTCTTTCTCTTTGAGAATGAGAACAAATCTGGCTCTTGTTTTCTCAGTGACCCAGGAGGACGGAGGCTGTATGGTTGTTTATTTTTCATAATCTGAAAGAGCGTTTCCCCAGTTTTCCAGTGAGGGGAGCCATCAATCTCTGATAAATGGAGACCTGAGTTCATGACTCTGTATCTTGTTTTGAGGTTGGGGGTCAGGAGAGGTTATGGGTGCAGACATTTTTCTTTCACGTACGTGTGTGTGTGTGAGCTAAGTCCCTTCGGTCATGTCCAACTTTTTGCAAGTCCACCCCTGGTGGACTATAGCCCACCAGGCTCCTCTGTCTATGGAATTCTCCAGGCAAGAATACTCGAGTGGGTTGCCAAGCCCTCCTCCAGGGCATCTTCCCCACCCAGGGATCGAAACCGCCTCTCTTGCCTCTCATCTCTTGCATTGGCAGGCGATTCTCTACCACCTGGGAAGCGCTCTTTCGTGTGCAATTATGCCTGAAAAGATATTTATTAGTCCTTGAGTGTTTACTGTTAGTTATTTTAATTGGATCACTAAATCACTTTTCTCTTTACAAATAGTAAAGAGCAGAACACACATCAGTCCTTAATTCAACATAGGTCATGTGGGACTATTTGCCTGAGGTTTTTCACCAGGGTTTAGATATTTGGGTGTGAGAGGAGGGACGTGGATAAGGGAGGGAAAATCTGGGAGAATGTAGTCCGTTGAGTGAGTTCTGTGGAGCTGCAAGGCAGCAGAAAGTGTTAAGAGCACTTTGGATCTGTGTGTGTGATGTTGCTGAGTACATATGTGTGAGGTGTGTATGTGTGTGCACACGTGTGGAGGAGGGGGAGTACTTCATTTATTTTAATTAATTTTTATTCGAGTATCATTGCTTTGCAGTATTGTGTTAGTTGCTGTCGTACAACAAAATGAGCCAGCTATATAAGGCTTCCCCAGTGGCTCAGCGGTGAAGAATCTGCCTGCCGTGCAGGGGACATAAAAGACACGGGTTCCATCCCTGGGTCAGGAAGATCCCCCGGAGGAGGGCATGGCAAGCCACTCCAGTGTTTTTGCCTGGAGAATCCCGAGGACAGAGGAGCCTGGCGGGCTACAGTGCATGGGGTTGCAGAGATTCAGACACGACTGAAGAGGCCGCCTCTTGTTTGGATTTCCTTCCCACTAAGGTCATCACAGAGCTCTGAGTGGAATTCTGGGGTTGTAGAGTAGGCTGTTGCTCGTCACCTCTTTTATACACAATATCAGTGTATTTGTGTCAGTCCCAGTCTGGAGGGGGCACGCTTCCTTCGTTTGTTGCCTTGAGCTGTGTCTGCTAAGCGTCCTACAAGTGCAGGGGACAGGGCCGTGGGAAGGATGGACCTGTCCCAAGTGTCTTCCTTCTGCTGAGAACCGGTTGAAGAAACAGACTGAATTGAAACACTCAAACCTCCTGTACTTTGCAGTTTTGCTCAGAGTCCTGGTGGCAGCGATAGTCAGCCACTAATTTATCTGATGCTACCAGCCTTGGTATTTTCTTGGCTTGTTGTTGCCTGCAGTGGAGCCCAGAAATCGATGAGTCAATTGAGAGGTGAGTCAAAGCAAAGCCGCCAGAAAAAGCAGGCTATTAACTTGTCTAAAGTATCATAAATTATGCCCAGAGCAGCAGATCTGTGTATTGTAAAACCGAAAAAAAAAAAAAAGTTCTTGTTTGTAAGCAAGACATCAATACCTAGTAATCTTCTATCCCACTTTCTTTTCTTCCCCACTAAACAGTTACATACTGTCTCCTTAAGCATCTTTGAAAAAACATGCTTCAACTTTTTTTGAGTGATAGCAGTGCTGTAAATGGGCTTCCCAGGTGGCGCTAGTGGTAAGGAACCCACCTGGCAATGCAGAGACATAAGAGACGCGGGTTCAACCCCTGGGTCAGGAAGATCCCCTGGAGCAGGGCATGGCAAGCCACTCCAGTATTCTTGCCTGGAGAATCCTATGGACAGAGGAGCCTGGCGGGCTACAGTGCATGGGGTTGCAAAGAGTCGGACACGACTGAAGCGACTTAGCATGCATGCGTGCAGTGCTATAACCATCTCAAGATCATGGTACATCATTGGTGCTCTGTGTATTAGGCACTTCCCCAGTGGAATCAAGACATTCAACTGTATGGAAGTGATAATTATCTAAAAATAGCACCTCCAGTCCCTGCAGGTGATGAAGTCTTTGGAATCATCCATTTCAGACTATGAACAGCGGCAGATGTTTCCACGCTGGGTCCTTTGTTTGCCGTGGCAGGCGCTGACGCACCTTTGCTGAGTCTGGCCTTGGAAAGGATGGCCTTTGCTGAGCATGTTAGCCTCAATGCTGCTTAGTGATTTGTATTGAGCTTTTAAGCTTGAAAGGAAAGCAGTGTGATCTTTCTTCAGAGAAAGAACAGATAAAATGTCCCTGAGTCAATACTAGAAGGGCGTTATGACTTTTAAAAGTTGGCTCAGGCAAGCTTCATTTAACAATGCCTGGGAGGTCCCTTTGAGTGAAATAAATCATGGGTAATGATATAATAATTTCTTTAAAATATAGTGTGGAAAACCAATGTCTATTTGCAGATGTCAGATCTGGTATCCAGGAAACCGGCATTGCTTCTTTTCAAGAAGGGTCTGTGTTTGAAGACTGAAAAATATTCCTGATAGCCTCTGATGCCAACAAATGGATGATTTGACAGAGTGGGAAACGAGGAAGAGAAGGAATAAGACAGTTTTCACTTTTCGTTTGAAGGCTCAGTTGTGGCCCAGGTTGCTTAGGCCCCAAATACTCCATGCAGTTTCCTAACATTTGGTTCAAATTGTTTGATAAAGAAATATAGTGTGACTGGTACAATAGCTACAAGGGATTAAAAAAACATGACTTCTTCCGGTGCCGCCCAAATAATCAAATAAAACCGCACTGAAATAGGAGGGACGTTTCCAATTGCTTGGTTCGTGTTGAGACTGTTTGGTGACAATTTGGAAGGTGGTTGTTCCTGTCATTTACGCACTAGGATGGTTGAAAGCGAATGAAGAG